CAACTTGATTAAATTAAAGTAGACGAACATAAGCATATTAGCCAACCTGGTTTATAAGCTTTATTTCAACAATTTAAATCTGGTTTAAGTCTTCTCACCTGTTTGGGACTCGTAAAAGAGGGCCTATTGAAAAGACCTACATTCTTTTGTATTTATTGGCGGTTCTTGGACTAATGGATCTGGTCTACTCTAAAGGCTAATCAGTTCAGTAACAACTACAAATCTAATTTGTCTAAAACCTACAAGCTTTCTTAGACCGCTAGGAAATTCAAACACATACTTAACAGGATCTAAACTTAATCCCAAATACTCACAGCAAGACCAGCATTAGCGATGCCAGTAGACTTTTCTTCAATCAGCAAGGTAGTGGAATTGGTCTAGACTAACTAGACTAACAACAACAACTACAAATCTGATTTGTCTGGAACCTACAAGCTTTCCTAGACTTCTAAGGAATTCAAACACACACTTAACAAAACACGATCTAAACTTAATCCCCAAAACTCACAGCAGTACCAGAATTAGAGACTCCAGCAGACTTTACTTCAAACAGCAAAATAGCGGACTAAGGGCCAAACATTAGGTGATTTGGTCAGGAAACGTGCTTACCGTTCGAATCTATATCAGTTCTGGAATAAGCTAACCTCATGACAATATAACAGGCAGAAAGGAAAGAAAAAAAATTAAGAAACATTTCACTTGCAAAACTTAAAGATGAATGCCACAATTTGAGTATTACATTGACTATATGAATTACGGTACAAGACTAATTAGCCACGTTGGTATAAAACGGTTGAAAACTGAAGAACTGAGAAACACTCTACCTCATCATAAGACCTATTGTTACGTATTCTTCCCCTCGCCTGGGCCAATGCCAGCGATAAGACGATTAAAAGACTTCAGATTCTTCAAAACAAGGCTGTAAGGATCATCACAAACGCTCCCTATTTCATTCGAAATAGAAGCCTGCATTCAGATCTGAAGATGGAATCCGGTAAAGAATTTATCACCAGGATAAATGAAAATTTCTTCAACAGATCAATAAGGAACAACCCCGAACACTTCATTGACATCCTGGCCTATGAGATTCTGGAAGAGGATATACTTATTAGACCTCGTGCTGCTCATATGCTTCACTCAAACCAATGTGACCACGATAACCAATGACAACACAATACTTCTGTGCGCTGACAATTTTCAGATCAAAATTGTGTTTCTTCAAATTTACGACTCTGAAAGACTTTCTCTCGTCTCCATCATATGGAGCATAATTTTCTGTGCATTTGAGTGGTCGTTGTGTATAGTTCGCAAATAATAACCAATCTCGGGATTCGTCGAAGGAACCCACCTGACCAGGTCCCAAGCCTCCGGTCTGCTTTCAAAGAGACAAAGTGCTCAAACTTCTTCCCTGACAAATTCGCCTCATCCAGAGGATATATTTAATTGCTGATTTCACAAAGATGAGGCCTATAACGAGAGTCTCTAAGGTACTGTTGTAACAAAATGTTGTAACAAAGATAAGAGCAGGAAAAAATACCTCCCTCTGTAAGCTAGTATACCGACGAAAGTATCAAAGTATCTAACTGGGAAAACATTATGTATTTCACTGAAGATATTTTTCTCGTGCTAAAAGAGCTAAATATTTCAGAGGTAAACACAGAATACGCTAAAACACCCTACGGACTTTGAAAACTTCATCCCCCTTCCAGAAAACATTTTTTGTTCAGCGTGTGTTCAAATTTAAACGGTCACTGAAAAGGGCTCTTTTAAAGTTTAGTAAGGTTTATCAGTAGAAAGTGTCAATAGAGATATCCCAGGTGGAATAGCGAAACATTTTATAGGAGATACACATTCAGACTAACATGGGAAAGTTATTTAACTTCTGTATATCGGAAAAATGAGAAAATAACGTATTCTATAAAAATGTTTAATGTTTTTAATTAGGTATATCGCGAATTAAATTTATTTTCATTTAAAGCAATTAGATTAAAAAGTTTGAAAAAAATCTGATGTGAAGATCACATGACTTCTTTGAATGATCTATTAAATTATTTTCTACTGTACTTCATTTAAACTTATTTCCACCAATTATTCTAACTAATCGCTTCCTCAATGCAAGCTGAAAATGGCTGTCATACGAGAATCAAATTTCTTGCATTTTTAATTTATACTTTTTTCGTAAGGAAAACAAAACTTTCCCAAATATAAGTATAGAAACTGGAAGACCCACTAAAAATTAGATTTCGTTATTTGTCCAAAGTTAAATTTTCTTTTTCAAATTTGACATCGCTAAAATATGCATATTTCCGTCATTTCAAACACTTCTGTAAATGAAAGTATGACCAATGATTGCAAAATTAAAGCAGACTAAGCCATTTAAGGGTGGGTGGGTGTGCATATATATATATATATATATGTATATTGTTGCGTTTGTCTTTTCTGACACCAGTTGCTAACGTTATTTTTTTTCCTTCACGTTCGTACGGAGTTCGTGTGGATTTGGAGTGAATAACGACGACATTTGATGAAGTACAGAAACACACTTTATTTAGCCAGTATTAATCGGGACAGCTCCAATAACACGTTTTACAGTCGTCGAAGATCTACTGTAAACATGCTGACACAATCAGCGACATGGTTTTCATGTTTAAGCTATCACGGTGGAGACAGCTTCATTGCAAAGCACCAGAGTACAGTTTCCAACTCTGCTTGGTCGTTCTCGGAACTCCACGCACTCTCGAGACTCTCCAGGCTACAACTCGCGATGCACTCGATGACACACAGAGCACAGCTCTCGAGTCTTCGGTTCAGTTGTTCCCGGAGCTCAACACGCTCTCTCGACGATGTACTAACCGCGATATTCGAAGACACTCTTTCGATGCACTCGACGACCCACTCGGCACTCGCTGCCCGGCTGTCAACTCGATCGACTCCGCACGAACTGACTCGCTAGACGAGACACGCTCTCAATACTAACTCGCACTCTATGCGAAACACACACTGACTCGCCCTCTCGACGAGGCACTCACTAACTGACTGCGGAGGCAGAGCAGCAGGGTTTATATAGCTTTCGGCTTGTGTTCGAGAACATTCTGGGCTAAAACGGTAAGAATTATTTCCAGAAGGTTCTCCATCCGTCGATGGCATATCGCCAATTTTGTCGCCAAATGGGCGATTTCTCGCCAAATGTGGCAACCTTGCCTTCTTTCGCCAATTATGGCCACCCTAAACCTCCTTTGCGGAAAAGCTATCTTACCTCGCATGGAGATTTTGTAACAATATATATATATTTTACAATCCATTTTAGAAAAAAGAGTCACTTATTCTGCCTGTACGTACAAGTCATATAAAAAAAAGTAGTCGAAATGGATATTTCCGTTGAAATACACACACTGGCCAATGAATTAGGAACCTTTGAGATTTTCATTTGAATGCGTGCTAGGGATGAAGTATGCACATTTTTTTATGACGTGAGTTACACGCGGTTAGAATGCTAGTATAAGTAAGGTGTAAGAGTGCTTTTCAGGATGAATGAAATAAAATGGGAAAAACGACAGATCTTTCACCATTTGTAAAAGGGCTTATTGTTGGTGCCCGTTTAGATGGAGCCCGATTTCGAAGACAGCAAATCTCACTGGGTCTCATAAGCAGCCATATCAAAGGTTTTCAAAAGTTGGAATCAGAATCCACAGTCTTTCTCTAGAATACATAACTGCAGTTTGAGTACAGTTTTGCAAGAGACTGATCGGTGTCGTCTCCGACGAATGGTACTGCAGAACAGGGACTCTACTGTTCTTTAACTGACGCAGATCGTCAACCAAGGCTCCTCCCAACATATTTTAGCTCGAACCATGCGCAGAGGATATTAATGCATAGTCGGGTGCCTCTGAGAAAAACCACTCATTTCCGCCCGACTTGCAAGAATTCGTTTGCAGTGTTGTCGGGAAAGAAGACATTGGATATCTGACGATTGGAGACGGATTATGTGGTCGGATGAATCACGCTACACCTTATTTTGCACTGATGGAAGACGTCGAATTGGGAGGAAACCCCATGAAACTACGAATCCATCTTGCCTTACTCGCACTGTGCAAGGGTCTGGTAGGAGTATCATGATATGGGGGCATGTTCTGCTGACATAGAAGTGGTGCTCTGTATTTCTCGAGTGTAAACAAACGGCTATGAGATACCCATATATACTGAGAGATCAAGTGCACCCTGCAATGTTGCATTTTTACCCTGATGGCGACGGATACTTCATGGACAGTAATGCAACTATACACCGTGCGAGAAGTGTTCAAAATCGGCTCGCTGACCATCAGTCTGACTTCCAACACCTTCCCTGGACCCCGCATAGCCCGGATCTTAACCCCATACAAAATTTGGGGGGGGTATAGCGGAAAGACTCATCCGACAGCACTCCCCTCTTTAATCAAATTTACAAGATCTAAAAAGCTGCATAGCCAATGCATGGTATTCTTTGAACGTAAATGTACTCAAGAAGCATGTAGACTCGATGCCCAAACCAATCAGAACAGTTATACGCGCAAAAGGTGATCGAATAAAATATTGATCTTGAGTTTCTAATTCAATTGAACGCGAATTTTTGCAAATTTCTTTTGCAATTACAATACTTCTTTTACTTCGAATAAGGAAGTAAATACGCACGGGTGTAATCTCAGGAATAAGCATAGGACTAATCCTAAGAATAAGTATAGGATTATACCTAAAAATAGGCGTAGAACTATTCTTAGGAAAATAATTAGGCACTCGACTACTCTTATGCATGGAAATAGCAAAAGTGCTAAGAATAGGCATAGGACTAGTCCTAGGAATATGCATAAGACCAGTCTTGGGAATAGGTATTGGCGCAGGACTAGTCCTAGGAATATGCATAAGACTACTGAAATGAATTGGCTTAGGCACAGGGCTAGTTCTAGGTATAAAAATAAACACAGGACTAGTTTTAAGATTAAGTATATGTCAAGACTTAGGATTAATCATTGGCAAAGGCTAGTCCAACGAATAGGCTTAAGCGCATTACTAGTAATAAAAATAGGTGCAGAACTAGTGTTAGAAATAGGCAAAATACTAGTCCTAGGAATAGGCATAGGATTATACCTAGGCATAGGCATAGGATTATACCTAGGCATAGGCATAGGACTATTCCTAGAAAATAATTAGGCACTCGACTACTCAAATTAATTAGCTTGGGCACAAGACTAGCCTAGGAATAGGCATAGACACAGGACTAATCGTAAGAATATAAGAATAGACACAGGACTTGACCTAGGAAAAAGCACAGGACTAGTCCTAAGAATAGGTATACGACTAGTCCAAGGAATAGGCTTAGGAACACGCCATTTCCTAGGATTAGTCATAGAAATGCTCCTAGGAATATATTTTGGCACACGATTACTCCTAGGAGTAGAAGCAGGACTAGTCGTAGGAGTAGGCATATAACTAGTCCTAAGAGCAGGCTGTCACAAGTCTACTCGTATGGAGCATGACCAATCCTAAAAAAGAAACACAGGAACAATACTAGTACTACGAATTGGCATGCGACTAGTCGTAGAATTAGGCACAGGAGTATTCCAAGAAAATGCTTAGGCACACGACTACTCTTAGGCATGGATATAGGAGCAGTTCCAACAATAAACATAGGCACAGGATTAGTCCTACTAATATTCCTTGGAATAACCAAAGACTAGTCCTAGGAATAGGCTTAAGACTAGTCTTAGGAGTCAGCATAAGCACAGGTCTAGGAATAAGCATAGTAATAGGCTAAGAAATATACTAAAAGTACTGGTATGTATAGGAACATCAGTAGTCATAGGAATATTCAAAGGACTAGTCCTAGGGATAAGCATAGCAGTAGTCGAGGGACTAGTCCTAGAAATAAGCATAGCAGTAGCCCAGGGAATATGACTTGCTGAAGGAATAGGCGCAGGACTACTCCTTCGAAAATGATTATGCGCCCGGCTGCTTTTAAGCATCGAAACAAGACTTGTCTTAAAATTAGGCATAGGCAGAGGATTGATCTTAAGAGTAGCGATAGGAGTATTCCTAGGAAAAAGCTTAGGCACACAACTACTCTTAGGCACGGACGCAGGACTAATCCTAGGAATAGGCATAGGACTAGTCTAAGGAATAGGCTTAGGGACATGACTATTCCTAGGAATAGGCATACTGTAGTCTAAGGAATAGGCTTAGGCACAGGACTATTCATAGAAATAGGAATAGGGCTGTTCCTAGAAATATATTTTGTCATACGATTATTCTAGGAGTAGACTCAGGACTAGTGCTAGGAATAGGCATAGGACTAGTCCTAGGAACAGGCTTAGTCAAAGACTATTCTAGATACGGCACATGACTAGTCCTAGGAAGAGGCATGGGAACACAACTTTATCTCTTGCTTTTAAATGGCTTAGCTTGTTAATCAATAATAGACACATTCAGTTTGGAAGCTTGCATTCTACAGAATTTCAACGAATTGCAACGAAAAGCGAATAAAGGGAAACAACGCCAAATCGAATTTCGAGAGTAATAGTCCTTTTGAGCTAACATGCAGGAAGACGGCTTAAAAGCCAAAATAAAACGAAACACAGCTGCACAGCATACTGTGCAAGGAAGTTTAAAAAATATTTAAATTTACATGGTGAAGCGTTTTGTTTGATTTTTCAAGCTTTCCTCAAAATGAGATTTTTTGTTCAACCTTTAGACACATTTTTATACAATTATATTTACTTAACAAACCCGAAATGATATTTATAATGTTACTTACGTATTTAAGTTAGTATCTAAGAAGACAGGTTTGGTTTATTTAATTATGGCAAAGCACTCAAAGGCTATCTGCTTGAAGGCAGCATGCCTTCGTGGAGCACCTTTTTAAGGGAAATTGGATCGTATACACGTTACACACGGGGATAACCACGAAAACATCCATGCAGCCATCCATTCGCAGAGATTCGAAACTCCATACCGAACTACGAGGAATTTAGAAACTTTACAGCCCGGTTGACGTGGATCTGTATCCAAGAAATAATGAATTACTGAAGCTCCAATTTTGCTCACTTTTTTTTATTTTTAAGTTGTCATGCATTAATTGAAGTTTTTTCAAGTTTTTAGGCTATACGCGAAGGAAAAAGAGAGATCCTTTTCACACAGGCTCGAACCCCGGTAGAACTACCAATATGAGATTTTTTCGATGGGCGTTTATATTTTTCGAACAGGTGATGGTTTAGTTGGTTTGGTACAATACGGCAAAGCACACTAGAGAGCTAGCTGCCTGACAGGAGGAATGCCTTCGTGGCGGACTTTTAAAGTAAATTGGCTAGTAAACACTTTACACATGGGGAAAACCAAAACGCCCATGCAACGAGCCCGTTCGCTTGGAATCGAACCTAGCTCTCTGAACTACCAGTTTCAGAGATTGTGCTTGTGGCCTCAAACAGGTGAACGAGTCTAGAATTATCTAAAGAAAACTTATGAGACTGGCTGAGGCTTAGAAATTATCAGCTGAGCTGACGGGGAATCTAATCCAAACTAATTTTCTGGAAGTTTCCAAATGATCCTCAGATTTGAACTACGTTTTCCTACATTTTCATGCCAGTCTCGAGAATTTTCTACAAATGATGTCATCAGGTTTTTGAGATTATTATTAACAGAATCCTAAGGTTCAACTATGCAGAATTTCATGCGTTAATACGTTATATGATAATTATTACATATAAATGCCTTAATTTTAACAAATATACAAGACAAAACAAATGTGTGTAAGCTTACAAAAATGTAACATAGAAAACAAAATATTAAAGGGAATATCTATTCATATTCAACAATGTATTCAATTTATTTGAGATAGAATAGATTCCTTAGTCACTGAACTATATTGCTTTATTTTGAAAGGTCTTGGGTTGCTAACAACCAAAAACAATAATAAAAAAAAATTAAAAAAAAAAAAAAATCTGAAATGTTTCAGATTTTAAATTACGCCCAAAGGGGCGTTTTTTATCATTTTGTGTGTTACCTTTCTTTATTAAATATCATGTTCCGCGCACAACGTTGCCATTTTTCTGCACAACGTTGCCATTGCTCACTTTGAAATCCTTGAGTTTGTTAATCAAAAATTCGTCAAAGTTTTAAAAAATAGGAAATCGATCATAAAACAAATTTCAAATTTGGTCTTCCACATGCTCATATTCGTTGGAGGATTACGTTATTCAAAATTCGATGACTCTATGTACCGTTGTTTTATCACAATACGAGAAATATACATACATTTATGCAGATTTTTCATTATTTAATTTCTTCAAATATAATGCAGGACTCTAACATTTTGTGGCAACAGGTTGAAAAATGAACCGACATTTATGAGTCCGACGCAAAATACCAAAACGAAACTAATAGTCCTTCGGGATTCAAATCCCTTTGGACTAAAAAGTTCTTTTACTTTAGGAAAGTAATACTATAGTTTCAGTTGCCAATAATAAATAAAATAATAATAATGTTGTTCTTTATTTTGAAAAACAGACGTTTGTTTTCGCAACAATTTAAAAAATAATATGAATGCCGTATTTTATTTTGAAAAAATGGAATGTGGATGATTTCCTTGTGCGTCCATTAAATTTTACCCACTTTTTGCCACCTTTCATTTTGACATTCTTAACAAACTTATTTCCTCGAATTATTCTAACTTAATTAAAGATCCCTCAAGGCAAGTTGAAAATGACATCAAAAATTGCAAATTTTGAAATTATATATCCCGTTTAACTTTTCTTATAAGAGGGAGAGGGGGACTTCTTGTATATTTGTTTTCTTCATATAATGAGTATAAAACTCTCCCAAATTCATGCTTGGCCTACCAGCGGCCAAGCGGTTAAAAGGCGTTGAACACTGTAGTTCGCTCCGGGGTTCGCTGTAGTCCCAGCGGACAGACTGTTTGTATGGGGGTTTCAGTCGTGCCCATGTGTAATGTGGATACGAGCCAATTTCGATAAGGCATCCTACCTTTCCGTGTAGTGCCTAATAGCGAAGCACGTAATACATTTTTAAAAAAATTTATAAGTATGAATAAATGTGAATGAATATAAATATAAATTTATAAATTGAAAATTCATGTACTTTTGGCACTGCAAACTGCAATAAAAAATGAAGACACACAACTAGATATTATAGCAATCTCATACAAAATTTCATTGTAAGGATAATCGTTTTTGAGTTATGCGAGATGCATAGTAACGCACAGACGTCACGAAAAAGGGCATTTTACAATCCGTTTCAATATTAAAAAGTCTTTTATTTTGTCCGTACGTACAGACGTTACACAAAAAATAATCAAAATGGATTCTGGAACGATTAAAATGGATATATCCGTTGAAATCTGAAACCCGAAATTTTTTGCGATTAAAATACTTACATTATTTCGTACAATGAATTAAAAAAGAACGATATGAAAAGTTAACCTGAAAGAATTCAGAATTTACATTGCAGTTAAGGGTTTGGTAGGGTTTATCATGCTCTCTCTTCATTCCCAGTTTACCAGTTTGCTCATGAACTCCTTCCTGCTTCCTGATAATTTTTTTAACTTTATTATTAAACACTACCTTCACATATACGCCGCAAAAATTTCAACAGTAAAAATCACAAAATTTTTTACAGCAGCATATTTTTCGGGTCCTTGATAGAGTATTAAATGCGTCCCATATATTTCAGTTTTTTCCTCACCTTATTGTCTCAATGTTCAATTTTCTTAGTTTGATGATTTAAACAACTTATTTTTTTCTTTTTATTAACTTTTTGTCTTTTTAACTTTATTAGACCAAAGGGCGTTAACTCAAAAGGACTATTAATTTCGTTTTGGTATTTTGCGTTGAAAACTTTAAATGTTCGTTTCGCTTTTTAAATTGTTGCCACCAAATAGTATCGCCCTGTGTTATATTTAAAGAAATTAAATAATGAACAATCTGCGCAAATGTATGTATGTTTCTCGCACTGTGATAAAACAGTAGTAGCTAGAACCATTAAATTTTGAATAGCGTAATCCTCCACCGAATACGGGCATCTGGAACCCCAAATTTGGAATTTCTTTTATTATCTATTTCATATTTTGTAAAACTTTAACGAATTTTTGATCAACAAACTCAACGATTTCAAAGAGAGCAATAGCAACACTGTACCGAAAAATAAAAAAAAAATTATCTCTAGCGCGCGAGATTGTGTATCGGAAATTCTAAAGATATTCTAGTTTTAAAATTATTCTGCGATATTGCTGTTGAATTTTTAATTTTATGTTTTAAGTATTAAGAACAAGATACTTAATAAATAAAGATAACACACAAAACGTTAAAAAAAAACGCCCCTTTGGGCGTAATGTAAAATCTGAAAGCTTTCATATTTTTCTTTTTAACTGTATTTTCGTCGCATTTACAGCGCATAAAATTCAACAGAAGGAGCATAA